GCTGCTGCTTATTACCACGACATCCTTGAAGTATAATTTTAGCTAGACCGTGTTTAGGGTCACAAGTTTTAGCTGCCGTACTGAACCCAGCAATTTTGTATCCGGCTGCTTTACAATCATCTTCGATGTGCGTTTTTTGCAGAATGGCGATGTCAGTTTTGTTTTCTTTTAGCGTCCTTGATTGATATTCGTTTAGCGTAGGAAATACCTTCGACGTTCAGCTGAAATATGCTGAGCATGTGGGCCACAGGTTCGTTCTTTTGGCCCTCATAAAGACTGTTGGATTTCTTCACTCTTCTTCTACGGCCCTCGTAAGGACCGCTGGACTTTTTTGCTCTTCCTCTATGGTCCTCGTAAGGACGTCTTAGTTTATTTGTTTTTCCTCTGTGACTCTCAAAAGGGCTTTTGGGTTTATTTCGTACTGGTTGACATGTTTGGTTCTGAGAAGAACCGTTAGATTTGTTGCTAGTCGAGCCTAGAGATTGCTTTCGCAACGTTCGGCTGCCAGGTGATGGCATTCGTTGTACTGTTAAGCTTTTGCGTACTTTCGCAATAAGTAACAGCAACACCACGTGAAGGTTTTCATCTTGTCCCCCGTTGAGCGTTTAATCGAGGTGACGATACGCGATTGTGCATTTTTATTGTGTTCACACGAACCGGTTGTTCATCAGGTTACCCGGGAGACCGCTGCACACACCACATACACCTGCTGTAGAGTTCCGCCAATACGCCGATCTTTTCTTCCTCGCTGAGGGTCAGGTATGCGTTCTTGTTGGACTTTGATTCGAGAGCTCTCAGGTTTCAAGTTCAAGTTTAAAGTCAGCGACGATCGGGAGAAAGAAAGCGACTGTAGTCATGCGGAATTAGATTTTTATGGCCAATCTAGATGACCTTTTTTCTTGTTTGTTTTCTTGTTACGCTCTCTTCTGATTGCGAGGTGTCTGATGTGTATGGATCTTTCTGAGGAATACATCAAAGTGTTTTATGTGATGTGACAAATGATGGAATGAGTGGCTTAAAAATAGCCCGGGCAATGGAGCATGCATGCTGACACTTTCGGTACTTCTCAGTGCGTCATTTCTGAGTGATCGCCTTTCAGTCAAGGAGATCTTTTTGTGATCCTCTTCGTGTTCTGTTGCTGAAGCATCGAATGATGAGTGAAGCTTCAGCTACTGTTCGAACTTGATCACAACTTCCCAAATGAAAATATGAATGACCCAGATTAAATTTAAAGATAATTAAATTTATGACTTGTTCTGACTTATAAAAGTTTGTTGATCGGTCATCCGTCGAATCATCACGTATCTATTAGATTAAGATTTTGCATCACTGGATTGAATTGAACCAACCGATGTGATGTTACGAAAAGCTTACGCGAGCAATGTAACCACAAGTCAGATCATTTGTTCAGTAGAAGAAAAACCAGGTGTTGATTTACTCATGCGGAGGATGATGAAAGAAACTACAAAATTTGTACCAGGAGCCAGCTGACGTCCTTTTGCTTAAGTTACAGTTGCAAAAACTACACGTGACCTGGTATATCCGATTCAGCTATTGATTCAGTTCGTCCTGTCACGCCTATTGACCTATCATGTTTACACCGTTGTATTCTGTTTGGATAAGGCGAGTTATTGCTTCCTTTATCAGTTCTCTCTTTTAATGCCGTCGATGTTATGGCGAACCGCGTTGAAAATAAATTATTGCAACCGTTGGCCTTGTGTGATGAAGTCGACCGCGGATCAGCGAGTTGCATTTAAACACAAAAATTAGTGATTTTGTCAGATCTGCTTAATGTTGATGGATGGGAACGTTCGGCTTTGCACAGTGTTGGTGTTTGTGTAAGGTCAGTAAAGGTTGAACAACGGAGTATCTCTGATTTGTGATATTTGACCGTTTTAAGCGATGTTTCAGTTTTCATCAGTCAGCTTGCGCTGCTGCGGCTAATACCATGTTCTTCATCGGACAAGAAGGCTTTTCCAATGGGGTATTCTACATAGAAGTCGCTGAGTTGTCGATTATATGCAAAATCTTTTATATTGGGCATGCTGCAGTTATTAATCTACGTATATGTCCAGGTCGATGTCGAGAAGAACTGGTAGTCGTAGAAAAATGAAATTCAAATTACGATGATGATTTTATTAGTGATGCAGTTCTGTGTCCGTGCGTTACAGGCGTTCAAATACCATTGATCCGTGGCCTGCTTAAATGGCCTCGTAGGAGACTAGAAACTAGAGAAAGGTGCCATTACCCCGCTTCAGCCTGGTATCAAAGGAGAAAGTGTTGAAGACAGTATGAATGGTCTCTTCCCATTTGTAGCTGCATTGCAGAATTATAGGTTGCTTAAGATTCCTGATAGCCTTTCATGGACGTTTTTCGCGTTTAAGTGTTAGGAGGTGATTATTGTGTTGACGAAAGATAGAATCCTTGTGGACATGCCTCGTTAAACTAAAATTTTGCCATGCGATCTACTTGCCGCAAAACCTTCGTTGTCCATTCCTGGATTTTGGCCTTAACTTATCAGTAACAGCAGTAGCTGACGAGGTTCTCGGTAACATCTTACGAGCCACTGATGCCTGGATGCCTCAGCAAACATGTTAGCCGTTTTAGCCTCCTGTTTCTCTCTGACAAACGCTGATAGGTATGGGATATTTAAGGTTGGTAAACTTGCAAACTAGCATTAACTCGAAACTTGACCAATGTGTTCATGTGCTGTTGCGATCGTTTCTAATCCTGCAGCGAAACTCGGCTTGAGTCCAGTGAAGTAAATTTGGATATCGGTGATGAGCGATATTCTTTTTGCAGTTCTTCAGATTTGGGAGAGGCTTCTCATGTTTGCG